GGACTTGGCTGAGTATTACTGGTTTTATCAGCAAACCGCCATCATCACCACCAGCGTGGTGTTTAAGTATAACGACCCATCGCATTAGCTGGCAGGAGAGAGCTGCGCTTTGCCCAAGCTCCGTGTCTGGAACCGGAGAGGTTCACATCTGCAAGCCCGGCTGACGTGAGGCGGCGTCCCCCCTCCCTCCCATAACAACGTGCCCACCACCCACTTTCCTTCCTCCTTCCTCCCACCGCCAGCCTCGCCCTCCTCACCCTGCACACAGAAAAAGCAATGCATGAAAAACTCCACACTTTTAGAGGCTTTAGGAAAAACCATTCCCCCCCTCATTCACCTCGCATTTTTTGGGGGTGGTGGACGGTGGAGGTACAAAACACGGTGACAAAACCAATTTTTTGAATAGGCAAGCTTTTTTCTTTCTGTGCCTATCTGTCAGAGTTTGGCCAGACTCCAGTAACTTGTCCATTGATCTAAAGCTAAAATGGCCCTGTGCGGCCCACACAGCCCAGGCCTGCGAGGGGTTGAAAAACATTTTTTCACCCTTCGTGGGTTTTTTTTGTTTGGGCTCAATCCCAAGCTCTTTCAGGGGACATTAAAGAAAGTTGCTGTGCTCAGCAGGGTCAATGTGGGCGAGGCCCGGGGGTAGACTATAGGTGCGATTAGGGCCTCTAATGTGCGAATGATCCTCTTTCCGAAGTCACATGATATGCAACTAATGTCGCCATTTAATGATAAAACAACAGCCGACTGGGAGGGAAAGAGCCTGTGTGGTTGTGTTGTGTGTGTTGTGTGTGTGTGTGTTTGTGTGGTGTGTGTGTGTGTAGATGCAGTGCACAGCTGCACAGAGGACAAGAGGACAGGAATGGATGACAACTGCATTTCTCAGGTTGTGTGCCTCAACACACGGCACAGGACCAAGCTGAAGAGTTTAGCTGGGATAGCTGGGATGTGGGTTAAAGTGCAACACAGATATTTTCCAGTTATCCTTTCTCATCCTCTTTTGTTTGTTTTTGTACAAATTTTTTACATGCTGCTGCAAAATGCCCCAGAAAATGCCCACCGACCCTTGTTTCCTGAATGTTGCAGGAGTTTCCAAACTGAGGATGACAGTGTCTGGATTTCATTTGATAGACAACAACTGTTTACCCCCCTGCACACACACACACGCACACACACACACACACACACACACTGAACACCGTAACCTTGGCTCTGACTGGTGGTGAGGGAGAGTGGGGGGCTTGGATTAGGTTAAATTTAGGATGGCCTGACCTTATTTGGAGAGCCATAGTGAAGCAGTGAGTGCAACAATCCCTTCAGCGCAGTCACCAAACTCATCTTTTTCCAAAACACCCACTGGCTGACACATCAGCCAGTCGGAGACACACACACACACACATGCACTGTTCCCCCTTTGAAGCCAGCCTCACATTCTCCCATATCTTCGACAGCATCTTCTCTCCTCCTCTTCCTTAGATTGCGCCTCCAAAGTAAAAGTTGATCCACAAGTTGATATTAAACAGTTTCACAGCTCTTATAGGTTTGTTGATGGTGTGAACGGTTGCAGTGACCTTTGGCCTTTAAAACACAAAAGGGTGCTGCGGAATAGAGGAGGGTCAACCGTTTCTTAGCTACCATCATGAGAAGGAGTCAGAAATCCTGCACACTGTTGGTCACCTCACATTTACATTTACATTTTAATTTACATTTTTAAGTTTGGTTTGGCATAACAAAGCAAGCGCTGATCCACACTAATATAACAATCCGCTCACATCACAATCATTTATGCTGGGAGATTTGCAGAGGAACTGCAAAATTTTTAAAATATCTTTATTTTCTTTTTCTGGTCACAAAGAAGGTAATTATTAATAACTGATATAGCTGAACACAGAAAGAATTAATCACTGAAGCAATAGAAATGATTAAGTTGGAGAAAAAAAACGAGGCACCAGTGTACTCATAATCACTATGAGGGAAAAAGAAAACATCCACGATCTCCATTTCGATTTCTCTTATGTCCGACCTAAGCTGATAGTTGCTGTCTTCTGTTAATATCAGTGATGTACAGTATTAGCATTGCATGTTAACTGTGCTGTAAGATTAAAGTACAATGAAAATCAAGGGACAGTGATGATGTTTACAACTGATACTGTTATACTGTCTGAGAGGCGCATTGGAAAGGGGTTTGCTTAAATTTTGTCAACTAGTTTGGAGGGGTTAGAAATGGTAGGGCTCCCTTGTTTGCTGACTAATTGTCACAACAGTGTATGTTCTGTTTTTTCTGTTTGTATTATTTTTTACCTCAAAGCAAAACTCTTAAACCACTGCAGGAACCAAAGCATTAACAGACCATCATGATGTTGAAATATGACTTAAATCCTCTCGTTTTAGGATTTGCCTAGTCAAACAATTTATCCCCACATCCCTGAACAAAACACCCAAAATGTCAAATTGAGCTGTACAACACTGATGACCAGTGTTCACATAGTAAGATCAAATACATGGAAAGTTTTGTGCATTAGTTAACCTCTTGAGACGAATGTAGGCAGCATTTTATACCTTTATTTGTTTTTAAGTTTAAGACATTTAGTTGATTTTTAGGGAGCACCTTCAGGGAGTCATGATGAACGTACCCTGGTGCATTGTGGGCACTGTGTCCATGCCCTCGCCTGGCCAGTAGGTGTCCCCGCAGAGCTGACCTCTCCTCACAAATTTCTCTCATATAATGCTCTTTCTTCCTGTGCAGCCCCTCCCTCTTCCTATGGACAGACAGTCAAAACAAGCCGGCCCAGATGACCGCACACTGTACAAATGCTGCAACGTTACATCATTCATAGTATTGGCAGCTACACAGTGCAAAGGTCCTTTTTGAAGTGAACTACATACAGAATGTATCAGGGTTGATTGAGAAGATTCATTTTTATTTATTTTGAATAATATTTTTTTTGTCAAATCATGGTCAAACAAAATATGGGAATATGGGGTTTTTAAATGTGTTTAATGGTACACAAATTACACGTGACTGGTTTTTAAAAGCTGATTCAAACTTTTTTTAATTTCTCATATTAAAATTTGACTGTTTTAAGCATCCTTTTTTTCTTTAAGTGATTTTAAAAATAATAAACTAAAAGGCATAGGCCAGGAGCTATGATCTCCTGCTGAAATCACAAAAAAACCCACAAGATTCTTCGAGACTCCTCCTCTTAATCATCTTTTAACTTCCTCGCTTCTTTTAAAAGACTGAAAAGTATTAGAACAGACAGACTCTGCAGCAGCACTTATCGAGAGGCTGGTAACTTCTAAATCACCAATGTGCTGTTATTACTCACACTGTAATGGTATGTATACACAATGTACGATGGTACACATCATAGCAGGTTTGTGGTGCTGATAACATGGCAATGACAGGGTTCGACGTTAATGGGGTTTTTATACACTTGCCAAGTGAGTCAGAAATCTATTTGCCTGAAGTCAATTGTTACTTGCCCACTATACACATTTTTTTTATTTAGTAGCAGTTATCATTTAAAACAAAGACCCTTTTAGCTGCCATGCAAGATAGACACTGTTAGGTCTTGTTGT